AATTTAGTGCTAAGGATTCATTTAGTTACTCTCAAGAGACTGATCTGGATGGTGAACAAATGTAGTTCACACTTCTGAGTATGAGGGAAGATGTGGTGGCATGTAGGAGGAATGAGTAGTGGAAGGTAACTTGTAAAGTTTTCATCCTTCAGGGGTGATGCTTGATTGACTCCAGTTTGCTTAAATTCTTCTTCCAGATCCTTCATCCTCCAAACAGTAAATATCAGCTTAGAGAAACAGAATGAATATCATGTTGCATATTCAGCAACATCGTCTCTAAATCTGGCTCTACGGCTTACAAGCTGAGAACCAGAGGAAGCCAACAAATCATTCATTCTAGGCCGGAGCTCCTCTTCCATCATGTAGGAGCAGATTAGGCTGCATGTATTTATGGCCGTTCCAGATCTGACAGCTTGTAACTCTCAGTCAAAAACCACATGAGCACCATTGTTTTTACATTATTTTTTTTTGAGACAAGGCCTCACATTGTAGCCTAGTCTGGCTTCAGAGTCATGGTAACCCTCTTGTCTTATCCCCCCAGGTACTTGGATTACAACAGTGAACTATCATACCGAGCTGAAAACCAGATTTCTTCATCACATTGAGTCTACTCTACTGGGTCTCAGTAGGCTCGCTACCAAGACATTTTCATCTAAGACTGATTTATTTAGGTTTCCTTTCTGTAAGTTGGTGGAAAAACATTTACAAATGTAATGAGAAAGAGATAAACTAAGCTATGGTGGCATTATTCTAGTAAAAATTGCTAAAACACATTACTGTCCATCCATAACAGAGGGACCATAAACCAGAAGAATAGAACAATACTCCTTACAACAAACTGAGAATATATGAGGCATTTATAACTAGATGTTTCCAGCTTGATGTGATTTTAGAGGCTGTTGAAGAATTCTGCTTCTACAGAAATGCTTTCCTGCCTGCTAAACTCTCATCTTTATTGAATTCTTGATTTGTTGCTTTAGGTAAATATAATGAAGTCCTCAATTGTAATATATAACTCAAAGATAGTATCAAACCCATATAATCTTCTAAAAATGAATGCAATATTCATAATTTACTATTATGTTAAAAACTTCTAGTTCCTTGAAGGAATAATAAGATCCTTTACTCCAAATCTATAGTCAAGGAATTCAAGACTTACAGAGATTGAGTGAATTGAATGGTCATGTAGGTATTGAGTGGCAGGACCAGGACTACAAGTCATAAAATCATCTCTGTGAGATAAAGGGTGTGGGTGGATGTGGGGAGGAGACCTTTTAAGATAGTTTGATTAGAATTCTTACTTTGATCCTTGTTGTATGACATGAGACATTTTTCTTAACTACTTTTAGTTTTTTTTATTTGCAAACATTAAGACTATCACACAGAAATCACACACACACACACACACACACACACACACACACACACACACACACACTTTATATTCCTTTTTACATCTTTACCAGCTATCTCCCCACTACAAATGCCCTTTCTGATTTCTTAATTCTGACCAATACCTACATATTCTCAGGTTCAGAATCAAGGTTCCCTCTTGTTTAAAACTTCATTTGATGCTATGGCTGTTCCTATGGTATCTACATAAACTTCAAAATCACTTATAAATGTTTCTTAAATTCCTCCTATGGTATTAAGGATCTCTGATAATGATCCACCACACAGTGGTGATTGAATTCTGCTTGTCTCTGCTCTTCAATCCAGGACTGGAGAGATGGCTTAGCAGTTAAGAACACTTGCAGCTGAATTCACATCCATATCATGTGGCTTTACTACCTCTTATAACTCCAGTTCCAGGGGATTCTACACCCATCTCAAAGGGCACATACACACATGTGGCATACACACACTTATGTAAGTAAAAATGAAATAAACCTTAATAAATTTATTCAAAAGATCTTTAGCATTTAAAAAGGATAAGGACTGATAAAAAATTGCCAACATTTTATTTTCTAGGTAAATGTATAATTACTGCTATTAATTATGGTATTTATTTTACAAAAGAAGGAAAATTTAATACCAGAATTTATAACCTCAAAGTTATGAAACAATAAAGTTACCTTTATGGAAAAATCTACTAGAGCAGAGGGAATAGGCATTGCTTTACATTTTTTGCTTTAATTTATTAGTTTTTAGATGCTTAGCGCCCATAGTCTAGTAGGAAATATTGGATTAATATAATGAATGAAACATTGACTCTGTCTCTGAGCCAGTATCTCTGGCCCATAGAACGCTTACAGCCAGGGAACAGGAGGTATGACACACCAATGTTGGCAGAGTAGCAAGAGGAAGTGTGCATGGGTATGAGTTGATAGAATTTTCTTTACAATTTTGCTTGGCACAAGCCATTCATAAGACTTTGTGTGGTTATTAGCAAGAATGTCTTGCATGGAAGCAGAACAGGGGTCAAGGCAAGAAGTAAGACAATGAGGCATATATACTGTAGGAGGACGATGCTACAGAGAGCTTGTCTGTAAGACCATTCTGTATGACTCTAAAGTTGGTTAGGAATTAAAATAAGTACAGGTACTCTACATAGATAACATCTGTCAAATATTTACTACATGTCACACATGGTTCTGGGTTGCTTGTGTTTATTTTCATTTAATTTCTACAACCTATTGCCATAGATTCATGCTCTTCCCTGGCAGAGGTGAGGAAACTGAAGTGTGCAGATGTTAAGTGATTAACCCAAGACCACAGTAAGCAAAAGATAGAGACAGATCTCACCTGGACTGGCTGACTTTATAGCTCAAAAGAACTTGTAGACCCCTTCCAGCCATGTATTTCTCTGATGAGAAGAGTTTGTTTAAGTTGATGTTTACTTTGATACTAAAGAGGAAACCTAAACGCTTTTTAGTTAGGATTCTAAAACTGCCAGACAACAAAGTTTTTCTATTCAGAAGCCATGCAACCATAAACTCTTTGAGTGAAGTTTAATTTCCTCCTCTCTAAATAGTGATAGAAGTCTATCTCTCTGTTTTTGGAAGGATTAAATGAGCAGAGTGTGTTAAACAGCTAGCAAGTGGCCAGGATTATAAAGAGACTTTAACAAATGTTAATTTATTATGGGTCCTAGTAAGATAAAATGACATTTCAAATTAAAATCAGCTTCAATATTAGTGGCAGGCTGAGAGCAAACAGATCATTCTTTGGTGCTTAAAGGTGTCTATATTTACAAAATGCTTCACGGGGCCCTGTGGATTATCTTTGCCATAGTCCTCATTTTAATTAAGAACACGGAGCTCAGACATCCCGGCACCGGAAGAAGTCTGCACAGATGTGTTTTCAGCTTCCAAATGTTTTGTTCCCTGGCTAAAGATATAACAAGCTATGTCAGCAAACCTGATATTGCAAAATAAATAGGAAATGCTTAATCATTTAAAAATGTATGCCAAAGAACAGAAAAGCCAAAGAATAAGCACATGTCACATGAAGTCTTGTTCACTTCGTCAAAACTGACAGATGACTACAATTAGACAGACAAGATATAAACCCAAAACAATCCATCTCTATTTGTTATGTATACAAATATATGGGTATATTTTTATGATTTCATCTCAGTTTTTTTCTTTTTTCAAGATAGAGTTTCTCTGTAGACCTGGCTGTCCTAGAACTCACTATGCAGTCTAGGCTAGCCTCCAACTCAGAGAGATCCACGTGCCTTGGCCTCCTAAATGCTGGGATTAAAAGTGTGTGCCACTACCGCTCATTTTTGTTAAAAAAAATCAAAGAAAAAAAACAAATTGCAGATAAATGTCTTAACTATGAACTTATTTTGAAATGTCAATGTCTACCTCCAGTTGTATACATTTGTATATGTTTGAAATTTTCATTATAGTGAAACACTGGTCATCTCAAAGTAGGTCACTCTGAAGGGAGTTTGAGAGATCTTATTTTTAATTCTTTGAATATTCTGTTCAGTGTGGTTTGATCATATTCACCCCTCCCTTAACTTCTCCCAGATCCATTTTGCGTAATCTTTCCCCCCCCCAAAAAAAACTTTTTCATTTTTATATCCATTAAGGCTAATTTATGCTTCCCATATATTGTTGACTGTGTGGCTTTCCATTGGAGAATGGTCCACTCATCAACGGCTGTATTTGTAAAGAGAACTAATTCTCTTGAGGAGATTTTTGTTTTATAACCATAGTTTCACCCCTTTGCCAAGTGTGTTAAGCATATACTAGTTTTGGAACAACATGTTTAAAAATATAAAGAAAGAAAAAAATGAACATTTTTTTTTATTCACCATCAATCAATTAATTCATTTATTTGTCACTCAATATTTGTTGGATTTTTATTGGTGGCAATTTAAATGAATTAATTTTCTTCTCTGTGAACTGTCACACCTAATTTCTTAGACTGCTGTGAGCATATGCTGTCACTGTGGTATTAGTAATGTAGTGGCATGTTCTGAGATTCCTGCCATGTTCCCTCTTGGAATTAACATGTGTGTATTAATTTCAAACTCTTTGGAACCACATTTCAAATAGAGGGAGGGTATGGTAACTCCCAAATTCTATTACATATGGATTGCCATGGGTAGTAAGAACATGAAGAGTAGCGTCGTCGGAAGAGGAGAGTTTCAGTTCTTACCTCACAGACCAGATGGGTAATAATAGGTAAGCTACTCCCTTCCTTCTGATCCTGGGTGTGACCATTTTTCATCAAGTGATGAAACCTAATCTACAGAATGGCCACAAAATTCAAATGGGATCAAATGTGAAAAATCTTGGTAGATCACTTCGTGATGGGTATATGCATAATACTGTTTCTCACAAGGAATCTGTGAGCATGTAGCAGGAAATCCCATTACACATATACAGGTAGCTGAAGATTCTCACAGAAAGGAAACCTACACTGAGTTTGAAGAGCACCTAGAAACTTTAGTTTGTCCACTAAGTAACATCTGACATAGTACACAAATGTGACTTCTTCCTTAAAATGATAACCAACCCAATTAAGTTAGAAGCATATCTGACCTGGTGTAGTCATCTTCAACCAGCATGTGCTTTGGAATTGGTGAGTACCTTCCTGGAGAGATGGGTGGCAGGGAAGTTTTGTATTCTAACGTGCCATTGTTACCAGACAGCAGATGATTTTCCATTGGTGGAGAATAAGCTAAGGAATTGGGGAGAGAAAAAGAAACGGAATCAAACCTTTCATGTGGGTGATTCAATGGTCAATATACTCCAGAGGATGTGTTAAAAATACAAAGGCTTTGCTACATGCCAAAATTTTTCTTGTTTTCCAAGGGGGTGAGTTGCTGTCTGTTTGCATTTCCCATATATAAGCACACAGTGACCTTTAGATTTGGAAAGATGTAATAACAGTTATATTTGTAGCCCAAGTTAGCATAATTAGGTGATGAGAAGAATTGGAGAAACTCGACACACATTTCCAGAATGATGATTAATTTTCTATGGAAATGAAAATGCTAGCTTCTAATTGTAGGGCTCACATTCATTTTACATAATTAATATCCAATTATCAAAAGCAAAAGGCTCCCAAGGAATACATTCTCCTATTAATCCTTCCCCACAAATATGCTCTATTTCTATCACGGGAAGGCTACAGTGACAAGCACTTTCCTTCTGTTCTTCCCTAACCCATCTTCTCGTTGACACTCTTGACAGGGTTCCCTTCCTTCCATTCTTTCCTCAAGTCTGTTTTGTGGGCTGAGATGAATTCTTAAAATCCAACTTTGCTTTGTTCTCGTGCTTACATTTTCTGCACTGTCACCCTTGTTTGGGACACAGTACACATTCTCTTCTTTATCAAATTGATAAAACTGACCCATTTCAATATTCCTTACACATGTTGTTACTCCTCAAACGATACCTCTGTTTCTGGCACTTGTATCACTGTTTTACTGTATGGAGTACCTGTGATTTGTGTCTCTTATCCCATCTCATATGTATAATTATGAAGGCAGCTATACATAAAATCTCTCAATTCTTTCAAAGAAAGATCAGAAATCTCCCTTCTCTGAGTCACTAAAAGACATTTATTTTCATTTATCTGACTATATATTGCCTCTTGTTTCCACCAAATTGAGTTGCTGGTGACGCATCTGAATTAGCTTATCCTCCAACCATGCTGCTGAAGGCAGGGGTTGTATTTCCTCTAAAGTTAGATGGGTATCACACACCTTACTTTACAAAGTTATGTAGCACATGTTAAATTACTAATTGATGGGAACCTTTGTGTTCTGCCTTTTGTCCCCACTCTGCCATTGCATTTATATGCCCGTTTTGAAGAGAGTCATAGCCCTCTCCGACTCCTCGAAATGTATTCAGTTCAAGTCTCTGAAAGTCAAAACTCTTTTCTGTCCTAAGGTAAGGCTTATCTCAGCTTAGGGCCTTCTTTGAAAAAAAAAAGACTATTTAGAGGAGGAGACATTTCAGAACCATTATTTCAAAAAGTAATAGCTAAGGTAATGGACCTTTAGATCTAAGGTTATTTAGCTCTTAAATTTTGCTCAAGAGAAATATCTAAATCTAAGAAAGATTCAACACTTGCTTAGGGTGATAGTACTAATTAACAGTGGATCCTGAAGGCATCCTAAGTGCACACACTCACAATGGAACTCGCAAAGTTTCAAATCCTACAAGCTAACTTATGTCAATAAAAAACACCCATTAGATTTACATAGGTTTACATAGAAAGCAAATTCTTTCTAAATTTAGTCTCCGAAGACAGAAGAAAGGGAGCAAGTCCTAATTAGCAGTGGATTTGGTGTGATCCCCAAAATAGTGACTCGGAGTGCTGCCTCTCCCACAGCCACAGACAATGACTGATTATTTTCTTGATAACAAATTCAGCTAAGATAAGAGTTATGATGATGACTGAAAATGGTGATTTCATCATGCCAAAGGACAATCCCCTCCCCTAGGGGGAAGTATAGAGCTCTCTATGGCTTATTTTTGCCAGCATCTGTCTTTCACTTTGCTGTTACACGGATCTGAACCAGGACAAGGGAATACAATGGCATGAGAGAACTCATGTTCCATGGGATTGAGAATTTATCTTCTGGGGTTTTTGCACCAATGCTGTTGTAGTCACCAAGATTAGAATTACATCACTCTGTCCTCCCTTGGTGGACCTGCCACTCCATCAAGGTGTCCCACCTTTAAAACATTAGCTGAGGTCCCCTAAAAAACATGGGAATGATTCATAGAATATTTGCCCTGAAGTGTTTCAAGAAGCTTGACAAGAGTGAAATTGTAAGGAGAGGTCAAAACGACTTTGTGGAAGTCTATTTTGTATAACTGGCAGGCTATTAGAAGACGACACTGGACACAGTACTTACAGTGAGTAATATCAGGTGGGCCATAAGGATCAGTCATATAAATGGTGGTGGGTTTGCCAACTTTTAGATAAACAACATCGGATGTGTTCTTCAATATCGCTACAGCCTCTTCATGGGTAACTTCTTCTAAACTATAGTTATTTACCTGAAAGAGGAGAAAGATCAATATGACAAAGTTAAACCTGTGACATGAAAGAGAACTACCCAGGCAGATTGTGAAATTTGAAATTAGATCTTATTAATAGACTGGGTTACAATGATTAGTTTGGTATTTGTAATATTCTTGATAAAACATACAGTGGAAGCTTAAAACAAAGCAGGTTAGGTATGGCCATCAATGCTGTAAAACAGGGTCAGCTTTGTTGATCTCTCTGAGGAAGTGACTTAATGGCAAACAATAATATTTCTAGAAAAAATAATAAATGATCTTTTTAAATATTTGGTGTTGTTCTTATGACTAAAATGTTTTATATATATATATATATATCAGGCTGGGTGTACATATCAGTGGTATAATTAATGATTACTGAGAATATGTGAGGGCCTTGGATCAGTTCCCAGCACCACAAAAAACAAACACAAAAACAACACAGTGAAGAAAGAATACACAGAAAGCATTGTATAATAATTGAAGAAAAAAACCTCACTAAAACCAAAAAACAAAACATAAGAATAATCAACAAGTTGTTTCCTACTTTAGTGTATTTCTTTAAGTCAGTGTAACCATGTTGGACATATTATTTTGGAATCCGTATTGGAGATCTATAGTGATTATAACATTAATATAATTTAGCAACATGGTTTTTGCTTTGCATGACTGTAACAGTGACTTAAATTATCTCTTGCTAGAACCGGTTTCATTTGCTCTTAATATGTTGCTACTACAAATAATATTTTGACAAACAATTATCTGGGCTTATCCAGCCTGGATGTTTTTGGTATAACTCATGTATATGACTTGCTAGACTCTACTATAATAGCATTGTTGCGATTTTTAATATCTGTTCTGAAAGTGCCCCTGGAAATATGACCCGATTACCCTCATGCCAGCACTTGGTGAGCTCCCCATCCCCCGACAGGGCTGAGAACTGAACCCAAGATCCTGCGTATGCGATGCACACTCTCGGTTACTGGCTATACTTTCAGCTTTTTTTTTTTTTTTTTTTTTAGGGAAAGACTGTTAATGTAACGTAAGTATTCACAGGTGAATACATTCAAATGTATCACATTTCTGTAAGTATCACCAACAATGCATTCCTCTTTATTTTTATAAAGAGAAGCCTATATCAAGTGTTATTATAACTTCATGGCAGGAACACCACACTGGATGTGTGCAGTATTTATTTTTAATGTAGTGAAATCATCAATGGATAAATGGATATAAGTGTTCAAAAAGTATAATTTAAGATTAGCTTGGGACACACAGGGAGGTATAAGCTATCCTGAGCAACAGACAAAACTTTGTCTCATAGAAACAAAAATACCTATCATGAGGTTTAACTTACAAATTACACACAGTTAACTTCAAAAGATTAATAAATAATAATACAATAAGGCAATTATAATAAAATTATCAGCCTCACCACCCTGCACTCTTATTAAATAAAATAAGGGTCAATAAAATACACTCATGGTGACGTTGTGGCCATCTGTTTGATAATTGAGGTGTGAATGAAGTGATTAACAAGTAGATTGCACAAAGCTACAAGAGGATTCTGCAGAAGGAGATGAGTCATGTTACAGGTTGGCTGGAGACTGAGGCTTTGTGCTTTCATGTACTGTTCAGAAAACCAGAGCTGCAGATGAGGGAGACTGTAATACACATCCTCTCTCCTGTGGAATTTAGTCATATATGATCTGTAGTACTATTTTTTTCTTTATTTTCTTATAAATGCTGATAATCACAGTCATGAAGTAGTTATACACAGCCCCAAATAAATGTAGGCATGATTCTACTTTACATACACTAACTTCTTGCAACCATCCTTATGTCTTCTGTAAGATAAACATAAAATAAAATAATGTAAGTTATCTAATAGGTTATTGTGATGCTTCATTGTTTTAGTGTTACCGGTCTGATAAGTGACAGGGACAGAATCAAAAGCCCCAGGGATCATCCTCTATCAAGCAACTTCACTGTGTCTTCAGTTTCCAGGTCTTTGCTTCAACCAACCCACACTCCAACAAGGTGCAGTTTGTGGAATGGATAATAAGGGAGTAGAACTTATGCACAGGAAGTGAATGTGGAGGAGCCAGATATGGCAAACACCGTTGATGATAGCAGACCTTAATTATACAGGAATAATGAAAATAGTAGGGCTAACATTTACATAATATTCTCTGTCACATATTTGGAGAACACACACACACATATACATATATATACATACATATTTATATTAATTTTTGTTTTATGGATTTGAGTGTTTTGCCTAAATGTATTTGTGTGCATGACATGCATGACTGGTGCCCAGGGGAATCAGAAGAGGACATTGGATCCCCTGGAACTGGAGTTACAGAGGAGCTGCCATGTGAAAAATGAACCCAAGTCCTCTGCAAGAACAGAAAGTGATCTTAATGACTGATCCTTCAAAGGTATACAGCAAATGGAAGGAGATTTAGTATATCTCACTGTCCTTTGAAGAACATTAGTTTTGATGATTCATTTATTTTAAGGCAGTCCAACTTGTGACTAAAGAAAGTGATCATGCACAGCAGTAGAAAATACATATGGAAATGACGTTTTCTCTAAATACTTGACTGCCCAAGTTAGGTACCTCTGAATGTTGTGATCACAGCCCTAGAAACTTCCAGATTGAGAAAATAAAAGAGGGGCAGATTTTTTGAGTTACAAAATGACAAGGGCAGTGAAGAGGACCCCACATGCTATGAACTAACTGGATCAGATTACAAGTGGCACCAAATTTTTGTTTTGACAAGGGCTTATTGTCTTTCTCCCCAGGGTGCAGAAATCGTACAGCTTGTTTGATTACCAGTTGAAAAACAGATGGTCAATGATTATTAAATCCCACCTATTACTATCTTTAAGGTGGGAAGTAGATTTTAAAGATAGACTTCATACAACTAAGAAAATATTCAGACAAGAACGAGAAAATTTAAGTCAATGGCAAATGCTGAGGGGTGAGTGTGAAAAAGAGGATATTGGTTGAATAAGTGTTAGTTTAAGATAGTGGAAGCTTGGTTGGTTTTTATTTGGTGGCTGACATATTGAAGTACTGATATGAATTTTGGTCCTGGAACAGGCAGTTTATCATATTGGCAATAAAGCACACTCAGTAAGAGATCATGCATTTGAGGCTGGGCAGATGGCTGGGCTGGTGGTGGTAAAAGTGCTTGCCATGAGAGCCTGATGAACGGAGTCTGGATCTCTAGAACTCAGGTAAAACTGGACACAAGAGTTCAAGCCTCTGAAATCTCAGAAGGTACTACAGGCAGATGGGGACAGACACAGGAGACCAGAAGTGTGGGGTCCAGATAGAGTGTCTTACACAGTGGCAAAGAGAGCCCATCTCAAACAAGGTGAAAAGACAAGGAACAGTTCCTGAAGATTGTCTTCTGGTGTCCACATGCATGCCATTGCAAGAGCATGCCTGAACAGACACACACACACACACACACACACACACACACACACACACACACACACACACGGTCACTGGGTTTCTTTTCACATGGACTAAGATATGAGCTCTTTGTCTTGATGTTTCCCAGCTCTGTTACTTTGTAAAACCTATTTAACCTTCTAAGCTTCAATTTTGTACTCTGTAAAATAGGAATGGCACCAGTCACTGTCTCGAAGGGCTTTTGTAGTATATACTGGCCTATGGCAAGTGGCGGGACATTAAAATACTTAAAGTTGGTTCTTAACCTTGTCACTTGTTTATTGTCATCATCCACCTCACTTCCCAGGAAACTGGATTTCTTGGCACAATTTTCTTGCTGATCATTTTTCTGTAAACATCTGTGAACTGATGAATTTAATTAGGGTTCTTCTGATGAGGCTTCTGTGTGGTCTTTAAAAAAAAAAAAACCTGGACCAAAAAGCATCCTTTTGTGCTGAAGTCTTCAAAACTGTTTTTCACAAAGTGGGTTTGTTTGGGTTAATTATGTGTGTTCACTGTGCTTTGGACTCTCAACATAAAGGGCCTACAGCTGGAGATGATCGTATGCAGAGAGAAGAGACATTGCATTGATTGGTTAGCTGTTCCTGTCATGATGTTTCATTGTCTTTTGATTTTTTTCTTTTAATTTTGTATCAAGTATTTGACTATCATGATGAACACTGACCAACTGGCCTGGATTCAGGGAAAGAGATGATGTATGTTTGAATAAGATGCTGTCTGTGGGAAGCATTCCACGGAGGGGACATAAATGCATCCTTGCCTCATACTAGCAACACTAAAGAGGACTGAGGAGACCCAAGACTGAGAAGCTGGAGGTAAGATGACTCATTGGCTCAAAAGATGAGGTGGCCTGGATTGGGGCATCATATGCTGCGTGGTAAACCAGCTGAAGAAGGAGGTGCTGGGGACCCACAGGAAGGGAACCTAGCCAGTTTTGTGGAAAATCAAATACGTGGAAGCCAGTATCTACACCCAGTGTAACAGTGGGAGGCTGGAGGGTAGGAGAGGCAATAGTGAACAGGATTCTGTGATGCAGGCTCTGAATACTTGACTTGATTTGCATGCAAGACTATTCATGTCTGGGGGACAGGTAAGGGCAATGATTAGCGACAGAGGTCTACCTAGAAAGAAAGTACAAGGAAATGTGTGACCCACAAACACTGGAGAAAAAATCCTAAACTCTATTGCTAGTTTTAAAAAGGAGATGAAATGGTTGGTTATTAGATCATGAAATAAATTAAGAAGATCAATCCAATGCAGTAATATCAATGATAGGAAAATAAAAATGCATAACCTCAGGAAAAGCAAAACTTCTACAGCATATTGAAATAAACTGTTGATGATAAAATTTCCTCTGAAATAAGAAATCGTAATAAATAGTGAATATGTGGATATGGTTATGTTTGGATAATCAATATTTTCTTGGTTTTAATGTTTTCAACAATGGATAGGTATTAGTGTTTTTATAACAAGATTAACTTCACTTGGGCAAAACAAAAAC